TTCCCAAGTGCCCATCACGAGTCTGCTGGTCCTTTCGACTGGCGAGCAACAAAAGTCTTCCACTTTGCTACCTCCAGCACTCTCCTTGCAGCTCCTGCAAGCCAGGAACAATATGGAGGAAACATTCGACCGAATGCATCGTCCATTATACCGGAAGGCGTAGGCAAGACATCAGCACCTGACTAAGGGCATGGGCCTCATCAGGGACCACCTCTCCTAGTGGGTGCGTAAAAAGTGCATTCCTAGGACCCATCCACGCCAACTGGGCTCTTCGTTGCTTCCAAGGGTCCAATAAAGATGCACTCCGCCAACTGTGATACAACTCGACTTGCATTGTTGCGGGTCTTCTATCTTGAGTGTCCCTCGTCTCCCGTCCGAATTATCTGGCTTGCTGTTAATAAACGGATGCAGGTTGCTCCAGGCGGGCCGGATGCTGGAAACGCGTGGGGCAAACCGTGTTCATGAAAGTTTCCACACCGAGGAGGGAACGGGTAAACAGCTTAACGAGATATCTACCGAGACGCCCTCGATTTAAATTAGGCGCGAGCCCCTACTCGTTGCGATCCCTCTCGGGCCGGCGGAGGCAAAACTGCCTCCTTGTTCGCGGCCTCCACCTCCGAGAATCTTTTAACGCGGTAACGAGCTCTCCCCTAACTTTCCACCCCGTGTTAACCCGAGGAAATATTTACCGCGATTTTTTACCCACACCTTCCTAGACCCCTAGGTGCGGGGGTGGTAATAACGGCAAGAATGGGCGCAGCGTATGTTTTAATGTCCCGTCTTGACGGACGCGTCGTTACCGAGCTTCCCGAGATATTGACCGAAATACCGTTTTTTGGCGAGAGTGCCTCTGCTTATTAACAAATTAATGGATAACGAAAGTGAATTTAATCTCAGACATACCTGGAAAATAATCAATCGCGGTAAGTCACGCTTTTGAAATTTATAACTTAAGGTTCTTTTTTTTTGAGGGGGCAGTTTGAATTTACTCATCGAGGTTTCCCTTTTGGGATGATTTGATATGCATCGTTAAAAGTCCTCGCACGATTTAGGGATGATTTTGTCACATCTTCTCGTATGCACTCCTACGGCACGATGGCTGCGGATTAATTTCGCAACTGATTAAGCATTATAATTGGTGGCCCTGGCGCGCTTCTGTGGCGGGAACGTTAATGGAGTCTTGATGTAACGCGAGATGCATTCCTGCGCGTCCGAATAACTTCGTGGGCCCAACAAACTTCGGTGCAACGGTGCTCGGAAATCGAATTGTCTCGGTTGGAAAGTGAGAGGAAGAGGGAAGTACAGAGAGGGAGAGAGAACTCTCTCTTGGGACTTATTGCTTCGTGAGATCACGAATGCACGATAATCCTCGGTTATCGTCCGAGGGCTGCAGTGCATCACTAAACGAGAGGACTTCCAAACTCCGGCGATGTCCTTCTCGAAGGCGAGGCGACACGATCGGCTGCACTAACAAAGCTTTTTAGAGAAACCTGGGTCTGCAAGAACCCGTAGCAGGGCAAAGCACATCAATCCGTTGAATTCGGGCCTGCAAAAAGCTTTCGGGAAAGTTTACACGACGCCTAAACCCGGAAAGGGATACAAAATGCGCCAAAATGCCTGGCCAGGGCTTCGCAAAAACTGGGAGGAAAATCGGCCTTCCATTAGTCGCAGGTTCCTAAACCGATGTATAACGATGAATTTAATCCTGCTCTGTAATATGATATATGACGTTTTAATAAATTTTCTTACGAGAAACATCTAATGAATTTCCTTACGTCGATAAATTTCCAGTAAATTTATTCATGAAATTTCTGTTTTCTGTCATTTCTGTCGTCTGTACTAGAAATGGCTCGATAGCGTCGTAAACTCGTTAAGCGATTTCCCAGCCATGGACGCTTGCAGCTCAATCGAAGGCTCGGCATGAAATTTTTTAGAGCGTAAAACTCGATATCGCATCGAGCTACGCGATTGGTCGAGCATCACGCACTCGGCCATTTCTACGGTAGATTTCCCCAGAAATCTGACCACTTCTGTGATCGCTACATCGATATGAAATTAATCGCGCGGCTCGTCGAGTACTGGTTTGATGATCGGACTCGATGGAAATTGGAAGGCGGAATATCCCATAGGAATTCGTTTCGAGTTCCATCTAACCATTGGCTGGTTCAATCTTTGAATGGACACCATTGAAACGAGTTCGGTGCCCAACCTGATTCGCGTGATCGATTTGGTTCTAATTTCGCTGGGAAGGAGCTCCTGCCAATGAACGCATCCAACCCCGTTTTCACATTAACCGATAACAAAGGCTTCGATTGGACTGAAAGTCAGCCTCGTGGAATTTCAAATTTCATGAAATAGCGCCTTCTCGTCGGAAGAAAATACGCGGTCTTCCTATTTCCAGGCCAAGCTGACTTTCTGGTAAACGTGCAGAGGCAACTCCAAGCTCTAGGTTTACTTAAACGTGGTTCTGCAACAATATTTTGGAGACGGAGTACACCTGAATTGACATAGCGTTATGCATTTACGGTTGTTTTAGGACCGTTGGGTCCAGTGCCATGGGAAGTGCAGAATTGCGCGAAAGTGCATTAAAGTTGCCTTGAACACCTTTTGGTACGGTTCAACTAAAATGAAATAAAACCCGGGCTGGATGCTGTACACATGAAATTCACACCACTGGATGGTAATTCTATTGTTTAGCCGTTGGCGCTTCATTTTTTTCTCTTGACGTCAAAGTCATTCTTTAAGTAAATTCAGAATCGCTCTTCCAATTTCTTAGGAAAGCGTCGAAGAGTACCGGGCACTTGCCATTTTGAAACCCAGTAGGGCCACAAATCGTTCACGTATATCCGCAACTCCATTCCGGAATTGCGTGTCGCAAAGTGTACTTCTTGTTCCCTCTCGAAAGCGTTTAGCTAAAATGGGGCGGAGGAAATAAAAGCAGTAACCCCGTAAACGCATCAGGCGCCAAATGTGGAAAGCCCATTGTTTGGAAGGTCTCGTGGCCTTTTCAATCACGCCGCTTCGAAAGTTGACAGAAGAGTCGAAGCAGCGACGTCGAGTTCGATCGGTACCGATACATGTCGCAATGGATTCGAACCTTCGCGAGTACTTATCGCGGAAAAACGCGAGGGCCGATACTCGCAATTAGCAGAATTGAATCCAACATTGTCCAATGTACGGATCTAAAGCTGGAGATTGCCTTGAACTGGTACAAGCAATTGCAAGAATACCTCTAAAGCCCAGATATTTTTAAACCAGCCGAAAATTCGTAACGCGAACCAACAATGACCCGGCGTCCCGAGGTGCAAAAGTGGTCCAGCTTCGCAACGAGATGCAAGGAATATTTCCACTCCATTGGGCAAAAAATACAGGCCGTTAAATGACTCGGAAAAGAAAAGGGGAGCGGTAACTATCGCAGTTTCATCTCTAATTACATGTCCATTAGAGAAGTCGTAACAAGCGTCCGCCGTCGTAAACGAGCGATGCGTGCGTCGCGATGCAAGGCGCGTCCAAGAGGCGAAACCCATTGTTTCAGGTGGAGGATCTCATATCCCTTTTTATGCACGTCGACTCGGTAATCGGCAGGAACGCTTTAGAATTTCACCAAGCCAACGTTTGGAAAGACTAGCTGGAAATTGGATGGGCGCACAGTGGTGCGGAAGCCTCGCTTCCTTCCAGCTTCTGGATCCTGAAGAACCCGGGTGTGGAATTATCGCGTGAAAAATCTCCAGGCGGACGTCGAATGTCCGATGCAAAAGATCTTGAAGAGGGATTTAAAAAAGCCCTCCAGGATGAGGGGAAAAAATATTCCGTCTCCGTAATGTACCGCGTAAGGCCACGCTCGTTACTCCGCGCTCGCTCTCTTCTTTCGATCCCCTCTTTCGCCTCCTCTTTTCTCCTCTTAAACCGAGTGTCATTAGACGCTAGATTACACCCTAAGGAATGTGTCCGTCAGGGTGTCGGTGGCGGAATAACGTGTGGGGTTCCCCGTGAAGACGGTTCGCTGGAAGTGTGATAAGTTCGGGCTGGCTGTGTTCGCCCACAGAGTGTTTCTCCTCCTACGTCGTTTATCTCGAAGTGGGAACACTCCCCAAAAGTGCGCTCGATGTTATCTCGTGCGAGCCTATTAAATTGTATTTTATTGTTTGCGTAATCGAAAAAATTTCCGGCCATAAACTCCATCGAGGGAATTTTGCCCACCGCGGCCGGATAATACAGTAATCTGATTATGAGGGGAACTTTAACCGGAATATATTCACGAGGAATATTCTATCAGATATTCCCTATCGCGATATAGGCAAATCAGTATGTATCGACTTTATCTTACAAATTATGGCCCGAATACAGAGCTAGAGAGCATAATTCCTGGCTCAATATGTATATTGCGGGAAGGGATGTAATTTGTCGAAATATCTGACCGTGAAATAACCGATTGATCGGCGAAACATTCTCGTAATTACTCTTCCCGCGTACACCACGCGTTAATAAAATCTTTCTAATTACCCGTTCGTCAAAGAGTTAATTAGTATTTATATTTTATCTTCGGTTTTATTGCGAGTCAGCAATCAACGTTGTTGTTAGCTTGACATCAAACTGTGTGCATGTGCACAAAGCTGTTTGTTTTCCGCAATAATTTATAAATTCTTTCCAGAACTCTTTTCCCGCTCGTACCTATTGATCCATAATTCATAAGAATGTTCCGGTGCGGTATGGTGCCCCTTTTCCAAAGAGCAGCCGTCACTTAAATTAGCAATGCAAAATTGTTAATAAATAACTGGCGCGCGCTCGCGTGGGTTGCTCGATTTACGGACCATATATACAATTTTTACGTTTCTACGAGTTTCGGAAAAATCGGTACTTGTTTTTTCTTTACCCCGTCTCGCGGATGATTTTTCCATGAAAATTCGTCTGATTGTATGCGTTGGTTGGTTTTTACAGAATGAAGATGACAGGGCTACAGCAGGTTCCTGAAGGTTGAAGGTGGACATCAAACCGCTGAGATGCGGCCATCGTCCTGGGCACTGGGCGTCATCGCCATTGCCTTCGCGATGATGATCGTCATCACTGGTACGTCCCAAAAAATCATATCTTTCATCGTACTCGTCTCCTTAATCCCCAGAAAAATCTTTCCATCCCCAAACACCGAGAATTCAGTCTTAGTCCCTTAACATTCATTCCGCGCTGCCCCAGGTCTCATTAAAAAAGAAATAAAAAAGGAAAAGTGTCGAAAGCTTCCCTCGTTCGAAGGAATTAACCACGCGTCCTCGAAGTCATCCCAAGACAATTAAGTTCACGACTCCTGAGACCCTCTTCGAGTCCAGGTCTCTTTACTTTCATGAGTTGAAAAGTACCGACTCGGTGAGCTGGACCAATTTTGAGGCGATGCTCCTCCAGAGAACCGATCGTCATCAAGGTAGTCATTAAAATCCACCAGAAATTTTATTTAATCCGCCAATGAATTCCTCATCTCGTCCTCTCGTGGTGGTAAAAAAAGCTCGAAGCAGTTTCCACGGCATCGATCGGCAATCTTCCGGCGCGAGTTTGCAGAGATGCTTCACCTCGATCCTCTGCCTCGAGGATGCTCGAGGAAGTCGAAAACTTAATCTCGCGTGGACACTCATAAGTTGCAGTTAGTATCCTTTCGAGAGCTCTCGTTGTCCTTGTGTGTAGGTTCTATACGGTGATTCGTTCCAGTATTCGAGAGAAACGAAGCTGCAAAGCCTTTGGCGATTTTCTCTCCAACTAGGGACTCCCTTTATGGATGCTCCCCGTCTTCCTCGGTGATTGTCGTGCTCTCTTACTTCCTGGTGAACGAACCACATGTAGCTTCCATTTCCGACTTTTTGTAAATTCTCCAAGCTAAATGAGTCAGCAGTAGACCGAGGTCGATTCTTCCACCGGGAAGGTCCGTTTCGTTTCCTTTGGTTGGAAACCCAATTCCGTTGGTTGGTTTGCTGGCTAGTTGGGTGGATGGTCTTGTAAAGTCCTTCGATTAGATGGTATCGACCACTTGGCCGCTATTATCGTCAGACCGCACAGGAATTATCAACAGAAAATCCAAGATCATTAATTTTAAGTGACACTTGTCGCTCCGAGTTCTAGACGAGACGTGACGTTCCTCCCATAAATCCCCACAATTTTCCGGTAGAATTAATTAATTCACGGGGGACCCCTAGAATTCAGCAGCGCATTTCTCTCAATTTTTATAAATCTCCCTGTACTGGACGTACGCAATTTGTTTTACAATCCAAACCGTGATTAACATCGCGATAAATCAGCGACGAGAGTGGAACTCTGGGAATGATCGCAAACCGATGGTTTGCACCCAGTCCGGGTAGAGTATCGATCACTTAAATTTAAATGGCAAATTGAGAAAATATTGTCATACACATTGTCAGGATATACATGGCCCATCCCGTATATGGGCGTTTGATCATCCATTTTGACAAATTTGTATATACAACCCCCGATCTCTCGAGCACCGTTTCCCTGTCGGTCCACGTGACTCGTTCTCAAATATCAAAGTAGCTCAACAAATCCTGTCAGAGTCTCGAATTTTGTGCCCATTATCTCTTTTGCTCACTATTTCTCCTTTTTGTTAGATGCAAAAGACGGGACGCATCGCGAGAAGAGCATAGACGAAGAGCGTCAGGGTCGGTACAACCCCGAAGCGAACTCCACGTCGAACTGCACGACGGAGACTTCGGAATACGAGAACATAACCGAGATCATCGACGGAATGGCGTCGATTATCTCGATGGAGAGGGACGATCACGAGCCATCGGACATTCGCACCCAGGAGAATCTAAGCACCCCCCAAAACGAGGTGGTCCACCCCCGCGTTTCGCAGAGGAGAAATCTGTACGCGGACGAACCCGATTCGTCGACTAAGAGGGTGCCTCCGGAGGATCACGAGCCGATCAGGGATCCTCCACCTTCCGGGACTCCTCCGAAAAGTTCCTTGGGGACAAACGACGCCCTCAAGAATTACGATGGGCGCGGAGCGGTTCCGGCCGCCGCCCTGAAGAGCGATAACCCGGAGGTTTCCGGACCAGGGGGAACGAACCCCGACGAGGCGTCCTGGACAGCGACGCCGGGTCGTAACGTAGACAAAGCCGACGGCACTAAAATCGAGGGGATGAACGACGAGACCCCGACGACGACCGGCAGCTCCAGGGCGGAGAGTCCGAGTCCGAATCTGGAAACGCGACCCTTGAAGTCGATCCTGACCCCCGACGGGGGTCATAGAGTCGTGGGGGACATCGAGGCGATCTCCTTTAAGGTGCCCACCCCCGAAGATGCTGTCGAAGACGTCGCGCTCTCGAAGAACCTTAATGTGCCCGGGAACTCCCTGGGGGATCGTCAGGACGCCAAAGACAAACCCGGGTCTTCCAATAGTCTCCTCAATCCGAAGTCCACGAAGGCCTTCTACGAGATCAAGCCGTCCTTAAATCATCCCGTGACGCAGAAGCCGGAGAAACACGAGACCAGCTCCCACAGGAACGTGGGGAGGTTCTTCTTGCCAGGAGTCGCCAGCGGGGCCGGGAGGTACGGTCCGTATTTCGAGGATGGCGAGGAAGAGAGGAACGTTACCGCCAGGATTGGCAGCACCGTTCTCCTGGACTGCAACATTGCCATGCTGGGAGATAAAAAGGTAGGACGGCATCCGGTCTGCCTTTCGCCTCTGCGAACGGAAATTAATTTCGGGATGGCGTGCAGTTTTTCTCCCCCAGGGGTTTTACCTATCTAAAAAACATGGGATTCTATTGATTTATCCACGGTATTTCTAATCACGATTTCCTGGGATTAAATAAAGGGATGGTACACGTTTTCTGATCTTCGTCTCTTCGCGAGAGGGAACAAATTTCGAGGACAGAGATTAGATTTAATCATTTTAACGCTCAAAGGGGCTTGGAATTACATCGAAAGTTTCACTCTGGATTAAACTGAGACGCTTTCGCGTTTACTTAAGGAGTGCGTACGATTTGCCGGGCTTGCCGGATTTATTAGACTTGCAAAGCTTTCCAGGTCTTCACGGCTCGCACTTTAAAGCTCGGTTCTCGATACTTGGCTTGGACGGCACTGTTTAAGGTGGTTGGCACGCCGAACGTGTGGCTCTTCAAGTTTTGATTAGATCTGGCCGCACCAGCGAGCTTTGGAAGCTCGCCTTCGATGCCATATGTCGCCGAGTTCGCCTTTCGAAAGCGCAACTCCGGAGGGCGAAATAGAGAATCGACAGAAAATTGTACAATAATCATTAATGACAAAGTAAACGAAAAAGAGAGGTATACCCGCGGCATAGTACCTGTCGTTTTTTTTAAATTCAATAAAGGCAAGAACACCCCACATTTTATTAATATATTACTTATTGCAACGCTTTCTTCGTCAGGTCGCAATTATTGGTGTCCGCGAAAAAATTCAAGATACCTCGGAATTCAATTGAACACTAATTAAATGTCTCCAGAATTTACGTTAGGGATTTCGGGGAATGGTATAAAAATCTACCGGCAAATATTCTAGGTCGGATTTCTACGCAACGCTGTAAGTACAATACTCGAGGGAAATTAGTTACGTGCGGGGCATCATACATGGAAAATGCACCTCTGTGTACCGTTTACATGAGAATGTTTTCTCGCCGTCTAATCTTCTATCTGCTTGCACCGGGTCACGTACAGGAAACGTTAAATTCTTCAGAGATTCGAGTTCTAGCCGAAATGGTGCAAGGAACAAAAAAGACGTCGGAAGAGGTGCAAAGAAACATACGACGGTAGCGAAAGAAGAGGATACGTTTGTATCTTATTCTTGCTGCAATTTCTTCCAAGGAGCTGGAACCATAAACGTAATTGCCTCGTACCTCCGTACAATCTTCTTCCTTTTCGTTTTTCCTGGAAAGGAAAACTATTCAGAGCGAGCCGAAAATATTTCCCCTTGATGTGTCTTACTTTAAGAACATTTTTAACGTTCATCCGATAAAATAGGGAGATCGTTTATGCAACATGACGAGCATAAACGAAGAAATGGCCGAAGAAATAGACACTCTCCTCGCTTTGAATACTCAGTGGTCGAGAGTAACAATCAATCAAACTTTGAAAAGTCCCATGAAAGTACATTAGCATTTTACGGGCAGACATTTTCCTCACTTTACGGTCCAGAGCTGACTTTAGAAGTAACTAATCTTAATTTTGGATCATGAGGTTACAAGCCGCGGTACCGAACATGTCGGGCTGTAGCTCACAAGAAATATGAACATCCTTTCGCCGTAACTTCGGAGTACCACGTGCTAATCTTCTTTCCTCCTCATTTTATATTCTAAGGTTTATTATCCAAGTCTTTCGACATAAAACTGATTTTTTCGCCCGATCATTTTTCGCGAAAAGGTCGAGGGAATATATTCACGTGGGTGGAGTCGCGTAATTATACACCAGGCGAGTAACAACAGTGGCTATTCGAATTTCAAGCGAGATTTGATATTCCCTCTGCCTACGTAGCTTCTGTCAACCAATGAAAATTCATGCCCCTCGGTCTTCTGGTGGAGTTGCCACTCCTCGTTTCGGCTCCGTTCTTATTCCGTCGGCATTCCGCACAAGTGTTCGCCCTCGAATCGGACTTGCTGGATCTGGAATCCACGTGGATAGGAGACTCCCTTGAGATTTCGTTACCTCCTCGCCGGGGTAAATACTTATGCCAATAAGCGCGAGAGCCGTGTCAACTTTGGAGTTTAACTTCTCATTGATAAGGGGACCTCCATCCACCCGTAGCGAATAAATACCGAACTTTGAAGTGCCCAAAGGACCGCCTCTAATTCCGCTCGTACCCTGACTATTTCGACGAATTAACGTAACGTTTACTTGGTTAATTTCTGCTTACGTCTAGAATCAAGTAGACAGTCCAATCAATGAGAGACAAGCATTAGGCAGCATTGTTTTCGCGTACCATTTTTTTTATTTATACGGTCCGTATGAATAAAACAAATCAGACGGAGTCGCGTTCCTCTCCGAGGATATCCAGGGTTGATTTGGTGACTCTTTTCGCGACTCTGCAGGAATCTGAAATTTCCATACAAGCCGTTCCTGCATTAAATCAACGGAGCGGTAGCTCGATAAATGGCGATGACTGACCGTCGAGTAAACCCGCGTCACCGCAAATTTGGCCGGCGTCGCGACGCATGGAAGCCGGCGTATAAGCTTATAAATACTCATCTGCGGCGGCGGTGCGTGAAACCGCATGCAACACATGCGTGCGCGTGAACGCTTTGTCAACGACGGGGGAAAAAAAAAATGATAACACGTAACAGATACAAAGGACAATATGTGAGGAGACCTAGACTAGCGCAGAATTTCCCTAACAAATAACCCAGCCGACCGGACGTTTTGCGGTAAATAATTGAAACGCTCTGTCAACGGTAGTCACGGTCGGAACTTATTGACAGAACAATATCCAGATAAATTCCTGGATGCGTAAATCGAAGTATTTTTCGTACTCAAGTTTCATCCTCTCATGTGTATTCGAGGTATGGAGGAAATTTCAGTTGCCTTCCAATTTTTTTACTCCAATGTATCGATGTTGCAGGTTACGTGGGTGCAGGAAAAGGAAGACTCCTTTCGACTCTTGACTGTTGGAAGGACACCGTACAGCGTCGACCAAAGAGTCAGTCTAAATTTTCGGTAAGCATGGCCCAATTCATCCTGATCGGATTTCCTAGCAGATAATCCTGAATTTACATTTCAAAAAAGGAGTCATAATCGACCCCCCCAATCCGCCCGGAGAGGATCTTTGCATTCGCTTCTCGTCACCCGTGAAATTCGTTTAAACTTCGGCAGTTAGGTCTCCCGGAGTTTCTGCAAAAGTGGATTGTCATTAGAGTCGATGACACCCCCCGTGAGAACGTCTGTCGGGTAATCGCATTTCCGGAAAATCGAGAAACTTTCCGATACCTTCAATATAGGCGTGCACTTTCTCGGATGGGATCAGCCGAGCTTAGGCAAACCTCGTTCTCGACATTTTGCCGTCTCGAGACCTAACTTATCGCGGACGTCGCACATCGGGAATGAAAAATCATTACTACCGTTCCGAAGTTACGGGATTATCTGACTTTTCACCCGGTCCTATAAATTACTTAGCCCGTGTCGCGCCTTGAATCCAATTAACGATTTCGCTATCGATGGAAATCAATCGCCACCGTAAGCGGTTTCGCCTCGTCGCCATGGAATTCAATTTTCAATCGACTTTCCAGATATCCCAGCAACTGGAGATTGCAGATCATGTACGCGACTCTGCGGGACTCCAGTTTGTACAAATGCCAAGTCGCTACCCACCCCCCATTGATTAAGAAGATTAACGTAATCATCACCGGTGAGTTATCAAAAATGTCTACTTTCTACAAAATCTCCTCAATTCCCCTGCAGTGTTAGATGACACAAATGTACGGCAACAACACTTCTACATCTCGTGACATTATAATTAAATTTTTATAATAAAAAGTAACCATTTTAAACAATCGATCGCAGGAAATTTCGGAGACATCGATGAGTGGATCGGCGACGGAAAGGGCGCCCAATAATTGCCGAAGAGCGAAAAATGGACAATCCGGGGATATTAATCCGAATTTAGTGGATCATTATCCTCGTCTGTAAAATAAAGTGCACCTCGAAGAGTACCGATCGTTGGGGCGTTAATCGAAACAATGGAGACCGGTCGATTGGCGATCGAGGGAGAAGTTCGACCGAGGAGTTGAACGAGCACGAGGAGTCGTATCGTAATTGACAGGGTTATGGGCTAATTTCTGCAGCGGAAGGCCGCCCTATCCCGAAGGAATCGGAATCGACCCTCGTTCGATTTGGCGCCCACTTTTTCTCCTTCTCCTGCATCCTGGGTATTGCCGGTAGCGCCGGCCAATCCCCTTACGTCGCCAATTCGGCGCAATGGAAACCCGCATTTCCTCGGGTAAAGCGTCCGTGGCCGGTAATCTGATCTAATTCGAGGAGGAGTCTACGGAACAAAAGCTCCCGTAAGGGTAAAGTAGGTCGGAACAAACTCGGATGAGGCGACATCGTTAAATGTCCGCCATAGACGCGCAAACGCGCCGACGTCTTTGATTCCACAAGGGGAAATTCGAGTCCTTCCGTGAGATCCTCGCTTCCTGCCAAAGGAAAACGTTTCGCGATCCGGTCACCGATGTCGGATACCCGATACCCCGTATCGCAAAGACGTCTTCTAAAAGCGTCGAAAATATTCGACGCAATTTTACGCAGGAAAGATATCGTAAATGTATTTGGCGCGAAACTCTGGCACCGAGTCTCTATTCGTGAACCAAGGATCCTCTCGATCGGGATATATCTTGAAGTCGATTTTGCATCCACCTGCGGTTAGACCCGAAAAAGTCGCAAACCCTTCCCAACTGAGCCAAGAATTAAAACATCGGACTCGAGTTTTAACTTCGGCACCCTTCCAGCCTACTTATACTTGCAAACGGTCTTCCCCAAACTTCCCCACCTGGAATCGCATAAATCGGTGCATCGGGCTTAAACGTTTCCGTAAGTTCCCGCATTTACATCAGTTTTGCTTTCAACGCCTCTAATGTGGTCTTTAGACGAGCCCACGAAGTGGACTCGCACTTACGAGCCCATTTCGCAACAATTGCGATAACGCCGGGGAGTCTTGTCTGAGGTACATAATGCATTTCCATATATTCAGAGGTTTCTCTCCCTCGTTCGGCCCGGTGGACACTGACGTCTAAATGGGAACGTCCTTGCGGTTGGCGCTTCCCAGGAGAAACGATTTGTTTCCTTGAATTCTTCCACTCTCCTCTTCTCTCTTTCTGTCTATGTGGCACCGAATTTCCACGATAAGCTTATAAGTATTTCAACGTCGGCAGCAATTTTTCTTCCCCTCATTCCCATACAATCAATGTGGTGGACTCGACCCATCGCCACCCCCGTAATGGTTTCGACGGTATCAAATTTTCCCTGCGAGATTCGTGGACGGACTTTATTTCACCACTTGTCCAAATATCCATCCAACCATCGGGGGACGTATCAATTATTAACGATGTCCAGGAAATTCCTCCGAATATTTTAATCCAAGCCTTTCATGTTTCTCCCATCTTGATCTCCCATTCGAGTCTCGGCTCGCCATCTTTGAGAAAGCTCTGAAAATTGGAGAAAAAAAAAAATCTCGCGGAGTCGTTCGCCCGATTACTGACCACGGCTAATGGCACTTAACCTCAGAAATCGCAGCGGAGCTTGCAGGACACCAAGAGAGCCTGGATCGAAGTTTCCCCCCAGCCTGGCCGGGATGCAGGACGCAGATTAGATCCAGGTGGAAGTTCTCAGTTTCGCCGATAGGACGCATCATGGTCGCGACATCGCCGAGGCTCTTACAATTAGTGCCCTCGAAAGTGCAGCAAACTCTGGCCCGAAGCCGACAGACGCAGGACGCACTTAGTCGCGTCCATTTCCGGAACCTGCACGCCATTCCTTAACCTCTGGTTAAGTCCCCGGACATTAACCACCACTTCCCAGTCGCCCAATGCCAGTTAAAAGGAAAAATAAGTTTCCCCCTTCGCGCGACTATCGAGTGAAAAGAAGCCATTAATAATCCCCTGCTTCGACGGCATTTATCGAGCCGGATAATCCGAGTCCCCCCCACGATAATTCGCACTCTTTAAATCACCCGGCAATTATCCAGCGTACCGCAGCACGGTTCCCTTAATGCCTTGAATATGTAGACATTTATTTCCATAATCGGTTTAACGTAATTCCGTCAAGACACGCGACTCGTCCGAGGCTGGCTCCATTTCAAGCGGGGGTAAATCGCCCTTTTTACAGAGTTTGCAAAATTCTACAGGTGCACTTCCGAGTGAAAATTCAAAGCCTTCCGGTTAACTCGAGTCCCTGCTCTTTGAGACTTTTTCAAGGGAGGTCGTTAATTTTTTCCTCGCCTCTTTTTAACCCTCTTGTGCAGTAAACATATCTCCTTGTCCATCATGAATGATATTTCCCGCACCATTTCGCGAGTGCTCGGGAATACCTCGAACACTTTGACGATACCCTCGGTAGCCTTGTCTTACGGTGGAGTGACGTCTTCTCGGGTTGATGGATTCAATCCACCCTCGCATCTCGCATATATCCCTGTATTCCTCTCTGCCCATCCCCGACTAATTCCCGCCGCGTCGTCATTGCTCCAATTTGCGATATTAAGCAACGGGTTCGTTCCAAAGCTCGACGCAGCTCGTAAATTACGACGAACCTCGCGCGACACTCCTGACGCATTGTGCGGCAAATCTGGGCGGACGATCTCGAAAATGTCGAAATTCTTTTTTTTTCTGTGCCACCCGAAATTTGGGGCGTCGTCCTTTTGTCATCCCGTCCGAAGTAATGGTCGCTTTTGGGACCGTCAAATGCCCTACGGTGACTATGATCGCCGAATTATACGGAGACTGATAGGGAACGCCTCGACGGCCGCAAGGATCCTCCCTTTTCGACGATCCGAATCTCTTAACCCTTCCGGTCGACGACGAAAGTCGAAACTCCCGTAACGGGGTCCGGTGACATTTTGAATTTCCTATCGCGAATGTAAACCCATGGGCACGTCGTCTCCGGATACGTCGAGGGGGCTACCATCAAATTTGCATAGCGGTCGACTTCAGAATCGCCCCTGAGAGAGGGGTCGCACTGAATTCTAATAGTGTTTTCCCGAAGAAAAGAATCATCTCCTCGGCGACAGAAGGGTCCAGAGAGGAGGAAGAAATGTCCCAAAGAGGTCAAACAGCGTTTGGCCTCGATTTGCGAATTCTTCCGCTCATCCAGACGCCATTTTTCCCCCTTTTCGCGAAACCTTAGCCGTATTAGGTTCCCGGTGCCTTTTACGAGACTTTCTACCCTGTAGCGAGACTTAAGTGGGGCGAAACTTTCAGAAACCTTAGACTGTTAAATTTGATAATAATGCTCCACTCTATAACGTACCTGTTATCGCGCTTGCGATTACAAAGTTTCAGCCATATTGCTTTAGGTACCTTTAAATTATGATCGCGGTAAAGTAGTGGCCGAAGAGGGATATGGAACATGTTCTTAATGGGATAGCACGGTCATGTAGAATCTTCTCATCGTCGAAGGAGCTCGATTCTTTCCGAGAAAAATCCATCTTGCAGAAAGAGGCAGAGATGCTCCGGAGAACGTACACCTTTTTCATAAATAAAAAATTAATCCGGCGAACCAAGAATGGACGCAAATCTTCCTAGGTGCAGCACAGCGTGTCCTGCTCGTATCATGACTACGCAAGTAGAGTATGTACCATCAGACTAATGGTAATTGGTGCACAACTGACAGAGGGCTGACTTCACGTGACTCCTTATTCGAGCGGGCCTCGCGTTGCATAATGCTCTTTGTCATCAAAATTCCTCTGCCCAGGCAAAATGTAATGATATTAAGGAATAATTCAACATAGCTGAGAGATAGGGCAGCCAGATAATACAAGATTCCTAAGGCACACTCTGATAGGCACCGAAACGAGACAAAATGCGTAAACCAGCTGACATGAAGGAGACTCATAAACGAGATCTCTAGGTTCTCCAAAATGGGTAACATTTACTCGTAGCGAAAAATAAGAAACCTTCGTTACGACCTGCGACGAAAAACGGAGCCTCTTTTTCTGGAGAAAAAAAAAAGAAGAAAAGAGAAGACCCGATAAGAGGTACATTTAATGGAGTAGAATGGAAAGCTCGGTCGAGGGGTTGGAGACCGAAGCCACCCATCAAGAGCGACGAGCTAGCAAAGCGAGCGAGTGGCCTCATTTGAGGAAAGACGGAGTAAAAGTGAAACATCATGCTTAAAAGGAGACACGGCTCTTTGTATTTATTCCTGCTAGTTAGCACAAAGTAAGAATAATTATTATAATGGATATACCGAGGAGAGAAGGAGGAACGAGTCCCACCCCACTGGAACGAGGATATTAAATGGCGGTCCAAAATTCCCATTTACCGACGTACATACATACACGCGACATAACCAATATACAAACACAAATCGATCACGATATAAAGCTGTTGCCATTAACTATACCCCGGAATAATGAGCAAAACACCCGAAGAAAAATTGAGCACTCAAATAATTTGCAGAAAAATTCAGGAATATCGTTAATATCGACTCGGGAAGGGATGCACTTATTTTTGTTAAATAAATCGGCGACCATTCGACGGGGCTCAGGGGTCTAATCTTGCACTTGATTAGAGGCAAATTGCCTCCACCCCTCTGGTAATATTTCCGATTCAGTTATACCGTCCAGGAATCAGTTCTCCCCTTCCGCGGTAACTACTTAATCATTCCGAATAACGAAGTAAGTCGAAGACTTCCAATTAGATATTCCCCCCTCGAGGTAGCGGAAGTCGTCGTCGGTTTTCCAAACAGTTTCCGCCGTGCGTATAATTCCAGAGTCGCATTTTAAGTCCCAGCCCCGAGGTGCGAGATATATACCCCGGACCGGAGAATGGTTGACCGTGCCAAGAGGGGTGGCACCCTGCAGAAGACTGCTTTCCGTTTCAGCTCCCACATTGACGATAGTGGACGATTCCGGAAGAATAGTGTCAGGGGAGAGGCATCTGAAAGCTGGAAGTGCTTTGCGTTTGCTATGCGAGGCCAGAGACGTGCTGGAGAGTCAGAACGAGTCCGTCGTGTGGACCAGAGGAGACGAGACGCTAACGGAAGACGTCAGGTGCGTCCTTACCCTGGTACCGCTCTTTTCCTTATCAAACCGAGTCTCCTCTTCCCCGTAGAACAGCCGACTCTTCACAAAACTCACGGTCCGCGCCAAAGCCAAGAATTCTCAAAGGAAAGTTCACGGAAAATGCCGCCGTTACGATAATCCGGAGAACCGAGGGAAAAAAAAATGTAAATGCGAAAATGCGGTTTCGTTGAATTCTTTCCGGATTTAGGTCTTGACACGGTGAAATTATCTTAATGGTGATGTTTTCAATTGTCGACCAAGAAATCGATGGGGAATGAATTTCTTGAATGCGGTGCATGAAGGATTCTCGCGAAATAAATATAATAACGTTATTTGACAACCTTTTTCATTCCATCTCATCGCGGTGAGACAAAGGAGCGAGGTTGCTTCTCTAGTCTTTCATCTCGTTTTCTCTCCTCCTGAATAAGGTAAATTAATCCGATGCCTCGAGTACTGTTTCTGCATACCTGGTAAAATAAAATGTTATGCAGAATGGCAAATGAAATGTACCGCTGAAATTTCTCTGGAGATAATTAAACGGGAACGAATTTCGACGGATCGCCTACAAAGAGTTGACTTCGCGTGTATTGTTATTTTCAACATTTCGTTCGTACTCGCTTGTACGAAACCTTGATTAACGTTATTATCCCAGCACATGAAAATGCCCTCGATTTATCGAAACCTGTACCTTGCTCTCTGGATATTTCCTACATTTCAGTACTCGCGCTTGCACGTGTAATTAAAAAACGGTTTTAACTGACAAATTTTTAGAAATCAAAGAAACCAGACTAATTTGGTTAATTTCCCTCAATCTCGTGTAATATAATTATCGGAAATCCCGGGGAGTCAGAGATAGTCGAATTGTAATTCATTTTATAATTAAATTACTCCTCTTCTCTTCCCCTTTTGAGTGAATTGCCAATAATACGCAATTCAATAGCCGAGTAATTAACTTAAACCGTTGATTATCTTTATTTTGCTGGAAACGAGAGAAAAAAAGACACTTTCGAACAAAATACAGTTCCCATTCGATTCGGGGAAATTTCATCAGGGGTGAAAGTAATAAATTTTTTACATCAATAAACGAAGTGCCGAATGAATTTATTAAAAACAATTCCCAATCAAATAATTTTCCTAAAATTCTATCTAACGTCATACATTTTGCGTTAAAAGGAATGTACGAACAATTCGAGGAACAAGACTCCGGTCTTCGACAAATTCGTTATGAAGTCCGGCACCATTATTATCATTTTTATCCAAAAAAACAAGCGGGTCGTAAAAAGCGCCGATCAAAAGCGTCTTCGAAAAATGAAGGCGAACATTTTCTGGGGAAGCGGAGGGGACTAAAATCGCGGTCGTTGGTTCCAGTGAAAACAAGACAACGGAGATGATGTCCGGCAAAAAGGTGCAGGTGATCGTCAGCACCGTCACCGTCGAAAGAGCAACCCCGAAGCACGCCGGCAACTATAGTTGCATGGTGCCCGGAAGAGCCAGGACCACCGTGGCTGTCCACGTCCTTAACGGTGAGTCCTTCTAGCAATGTCGCCGAATAATTGGCTCGAAACTGGAAGGAAACGGCTTACGAAAGGAAAGAGCCCCTTACGAGGTGGAAACGTCTCACGAAATGTCGCCGTAGCAAGGACTCCTCCATCCAGCACGACTAACAACGCGCCCTTTAATTAAGGATTCGTTTTCCACACCTAAATGGGATCGATCGAGGTAATTAGAAACGGGTTCACGGGTAGGGCTTGGTTTGTAAGTACACCTCCGCGGGTCCTGGATGTCCTTTTGGAGGCACCTACCTTCCTAATCGATTTTGGCGTAACACCCCACTTCCTACCCACACCGATCGAGGATTCTTCCAAATAATGGCCGTAAAATCAGAGTGGATATCGACAGATCGATCCAGTTCCAATCCTTAAAAATCGGTGGTTTTTAATTCCCACGAAGCGGTACCACGAAGATGTATGGATTTGATCCACGTAATAAGCAAGTGCACGTGGAAGGTGTACCAGACAGGTGGGCGATTTCAAAGGGGTGCTCTCCCGATCGCTTTGAAATCGGTATAGAGCGATTGTTCAGACAGTTCCAGAATGGAGTCCCTCTTTTTTTGTCGAGCTCCCTTTGCCGTCTCTTTGCCGGTTCGATTCCCTGCCTTTATTAGGTTCTCGAAGACAATGGGTTCCTCGGCGTGGATCTCCCGGAGTTCCCGAGCGCGATGATGTATTTCGGCTCTTATGTTGAACGGCACTTCCCGCGTGCTGTGCTTCGCGCAGGTAATAGCTGGAAGCTCGAAGCTTTCATGAAATTAAGCTGTCGTTATTAATGGGATCTCCTCCGACGTGCACCGCCGAGTTTCGCGCGCGATATCGTTACGGCTCCGAGCTTGTACGCATTCATCACGCGTTTAAACTTCCCGAGGCATTCGAGGATAGGGCGATCTCATCGGGCCGCGTTCCGTCACCCTTCGCGAATCGCGAATCGCGAGAAGAAGACGCTCCGATATGACGAGCCCCGAATGGAACCAACGAGCCTGTCCCCGGTGCTCCATGCAAATTCGGAGCCTTCCTTTTTGGCAACCTCCCGGGCTTTACGATCGACGTAAGCTCCTACATTCCGCCGATTTTCCTTCGGGGATTTCTTTATAGTTCTGGGATCCTATCGCGCGTTTTAGACTCCTACCATGGAAGGATGAAACGGCCGAGGATACATTTTGTCGCGAATATACGGAACGACGGAGGAGGTCGAATATCCTATAAAAAAATCAGGGCTTTGGTTATTAATTCTGGTTGATGAGGGTTGCGTTCCTCGGGCGCAGTTTTGATTTATTCCGGGTTAACAAATTATTCTTTCTCGCGTTCACATCCTAGGTAGACTAATTCTACCGAACGAGATACTTTTCCAGCCTTTCCGTCCGTTTTCGTGCCGCCGAGGCGTTTCGTTGCACGATCGCTAAACTTTCAACTCGTAAACCAACGGTTGACCGATTAAGACGGGCTCCATATTTTCCGTCTTGGCGACTAACTTTCGGAAACCCGGTTAATTTCCTGAGTCCGTTAAGTGGATATTTGTTGTTGGCGTGTAGTAATTTTTTTTTTTTTCCGTTCTTCTTTTTCACCCCAGAAATATGGGCAACAGTCGGGGCCAGTAACTCGAGGTTTCTCTTCTAAACGTTTATTATACTTTCGCAAAAATTACTGCGCATCCCATTCTCGGGGAATTCGGAAATAATGACGTTGCGTCGCAATGCTCGAGAAGTGGCGGCGATTTATTTGAAATTTTTACCCTGACCGACGTCGATACCGACTTCAGAAATCATCGCTGCAGCAACTCCTATTTCTCTTCGAGAAAGGCTTCATGAGAAAGCGATTCTGGCCCGGTGCCAAGATCGATGTGAAATTTGTCAAATCACCTCCCGGCTCTGACTTTCCTCGGAACCGACGCCTACTTGTGGGTTTCTTTCCTCCGTCTGCGGGAAATCTTACCCGCGCGGATTCTCCGCGTTACTCGTCTTAATCCTCGCATTCGTTCCACCTTGCGAAGTACCACCGCCGAGAAGAAAACGATTTCTCACGGGAACATCCCAGCTAGACGAGAAGGAATCGCGCCATCTCGTCGGCCTCGAAACGTTTGTCGATCTTAATCTGCATTCGCGGAACTTTCAAAAATCACTAAAATCAAAATTAAGAGAAACCGAGCAAGTTGAAGTGCCCAAAAAGTATTTCATAATTTTCCTGCATTTTTTTTCGGAAATTATTTCAATGGGAGAAGTCTCACGAATTCTACGCTTTCCAAGGGGCACTCGAAAACCGAGAAAATTCAATTTACTTATGCGGAACATTTGACTCTTCTTTACAACTCCGCGCTTTTATGTGTTTACAGCTCGTTTATTTGGAACTGCCTGAGTATTTGCTAACCGAGTTTCACTCGTTTCGAATGCAGAGCTCGATAACTGGCGCCGAAAATTGTGCGAAACTTCGGTACGGAAATATTTATGTACACCAGGCGGCACGATGACTAAAAAGGAGCGTCATTTTCGGATACAGTAAGGCTATATATTTTTTTTCCAAAAATTTCCAACGTCCCTTTTTAAGGATTTCCCAAAAGCGCATATGACCTTTCCGTCACGTTTGCACTCCTGCAGTCGTGACGCTGCGTCGTGATCGGGGTTATGTACTTTGTTACATATCCGGAACATAATAGGTACATGCGCGAGAAGTCTCGATGTCGGGCTTTCTCTCGATAGATCGCAGAGTCTCGTTTCCGCGAGTGTAAACGAAGCGATTTAGGGGTCGCCAGAAATTCTGCGGTTTCCCACCGCAATGGGATGCGCTCGTGCAACCGTATCGCGGGTTCTGCATCCTGGGTTGCAATCGATGCAAATCAATCTATATGTATACGCGAGCACACCCCCACGGCATAACTATCGCCCCGCGATACGTCCTCGGCATTTACTTACCATATTTATAGCGCCCCTTAATCAAGCGGTCACTTATAAGTATCAAACCAATTAACTTGCAGATGAGGCGTCCGAAGGGAAATTACAAAGCCGCGAAACGTTTCACCCGAGTCGCCGCGAGAAGCATTTTCCATGACACCTCGACCAACCTTTTCACGATGAACATGGAGATTTTTCGCCATTTTTCCTAACGCCGACCAAGCGGTGTAATTAATTCATCGGGGTGTTTTGGTATTTTCTGCTGCTAAAAATCGCGATCTCACTTAATTTCTGGTTAACAATCCTTGGAAGTTGCATTTCTCCAGAAAATCTCGGCCTTTCCGGAGCCAGATATCCAATTTTGGTTCCTCGGAAAGGCAGATTCGTTACCGAAGTTCCTGGGAGTGGTAATCCCTTTTTCGAAAACTCCTTCCAATTGTTCGAGCCATTTGGCGCGAGTGGAAGTGTCTGGAGCGAATTCTGGAATCTGGCGAGTTAGTCGAAAAAGCTCGGGGAAAGAAATTTTCGCGGCGGTAACCGTTTAAGACCCTTTTTCTCGACAGCTTTTCGCATTAGGTATGCCGACACGCGGTATCGTTTGGGCAATTTCTCGAGCGCGGAATGCGCTTAAAGAGAAACGCCCGAGCGCTGTATATAAGTAGATTTAGTCTGGGTTCGCCGTTCCGACGTAATCCCCTAATTTTTCTCTCTTGCGGGCTATTTAGGTTAGCGGGGTAAGCCAGGCCCGAATGGAAGAACGAAGCGATGGGCGGTTCCCAATTAAAATGCCTCCTCGCCTCGTCTGCGCTCGCTAATCAACGCGAATTTCGGAACCGCGAGAGTTTACCCGAATTTCTGGTTTTTGATGCGGTCACCCATCGCTAAAACCGCATCCACCACGGTTAAACGACGAGATGAATTTTTTTACAGTTGATGGTAACAATGAAAATACATGAAATCACGCGTTTTGAGATTGGACCTGGTATTTCATTAACAATGAATTTCGGACGTCGACTTTCTTCCAATTTTAGGACCTTTGTCGCAAAAGAAACGACTCCTGGGGTGGTCCAACCTAAGTATACTGGTGACTTTTTCCTAGATTAAGGAGCTTGGGGAATATTAGCACGATATTCCGGCAACGTTACCCCGTAACGACGGCAAAGCTTGAAAATGCTCGCAAAACGGAGGAGGTCGATAACGCCGGGACGTTCCTGACTTTATGGGGAGGCCACCTTGCATTTAGGCCATGCTTTCATTTCCGCGATGGCGGGACGTTGGTACTTCTCCAGCATTTTCATCATCTGGCCCGACCGTCCAGAGCTTCAAATAAATTATACCACGAAGGGTGCTAAATGATGCAAAGATGCAAGGACCGCCCATTTGCGCCATTGTATTCGGCACGTAATATGGAATTGCCATTGTGTCGCGCTCGCTCGACGACGGTCTAGCCAGGTCGAAAACGTTCCTGAAGATGGAATTACTAAGGCCATTAATTACCAGCCAGCGAAGTCGGACACGGAATACCAGGGATAAAAATTAGAAGCAATCGGTCTAAGGCATCCTTCACCCTGCTATGCAATTTTTCTCGCATTGTCGCGAATAGGACTTTGTAATCAATGGCACGAGGAGTTCTTCCTAATCCTAGGTCAGCTGAAATTTTCTTTTTATTGATGGACTTCAAGGAGGAACCGACCGAATCGACTCCTTGGGCGAAGTTCCTTGTTAGAGGAACCCCTGGGTCCAGGTAATCCTCCTTGATGAGGAGTCTCGTAGACGACGTGGAGAGATCTAGCCCTGGCCTCGACCGTGTCGTCGGCAATACGACGGTCAGGTCGATTTATGTCGCGGACCCCATTCGCTCCTGGATTCGATCCTGGATTTGGGACAATCGTATCGACCCCAGTCGTTGGCCAAAGAGGTCGACGATCACATCGACCGATGTGTCCGACAGGTCTCGCTCCTCCCAGACCAAATTCGAAGTGTCTTCGTCTAATTGGTTACCTTCCGATTGGATCCATAATGTCCAGACGAGGTTCCACTTCACCGAGCCATCGCACGTATTTATTTGAAACGACCGTCAATCCATCGACACCTTATCTAATCACTGGATACATAAAGAAGAACTGAATCCCTTCAAGAAATGAGAAGAAAACGACCGCGTTGACACCCGATGAAATTCTACGGCTATTATTCGTCCCGCGGTGGATCGTTCCTTGGATGACATTTTTCTCTCTCTCTCTTTTTTTTTTTTTTTAATAAAAGTGAAACTTCATCGGCCATCCCCTCGTTACAGGCGGGATTTTTTCGTGCGAAAACTTTCCTGAAGCGATCATGCCTGCAATGCTCGTTTTATCCGCTGCACTGGCCAAACAAACAACTAATTGGCTTGGCGAACCGAATCGGAAAGAGTATCATCAGCTGAAAGGACTAATGGACCGATGTCTGTCGATTATTTTTTACCGGCCTCGAATTTTCTCGAAATACTCGGGTAATTGCTGGATCCGGTAATCTACTTAGCCAACTCGGTGAATTAAAGCGGGCTGAAAATGTAAAAAGTCAGCTGTTTGGCCCGACAAAACACGTAGATTGGGGTCATGCAAACTGTCCACGGTGGGGAGGCGAGAGTGCAAGCATACGTGCATTTCTACCTTGGATAAGGCCACTGTTGTGACCATGTATAATGCACCGCATGATTTACTATGGATGACCGAGCTCGAGTCGAAGTGCATTTTGGTAATTGCGAGCCATTTCCGGCGAAACGTTTCCCAGGACTTCGAAGACGCTTTGGAAATTTGGCTCCTATTTACTCTTCCAGGGAACTTCCGAGGCACCGACAAAATTCACCATTTCCATTAACTAGATAATGTATCATCGTAATTGTTGACCAAATATTTATATAAAAAATGTTCGCTCTTAATATCCATGCAAAATTTATCCGCGGAATTATATACTTTGATTGTTTCTTGTTAATTGATTCGTTGCCTCGGTTGCAACGTGGGCTGGAAAAGCCATGTTAGCGGCGAGAAAATCCAACTAAAAACCTTTTAAAGGATTTTTTAAGCGATGTGCGGAAATGAAAAATTCTCAAATTCGAGAACCGAAATAATCTCCGAGTTGACTATTGTACAGGGAATGTAGTTGCTTGTAAAGGACCTCTTTTTGTCTATGTACCCTAGACTTAGTTGCACGTGATTTACCTCATTTCGTTACTTTTACGTCGTCGTAAAAATTCTGAAAGCGACTTTATTAACAAGCTTAAAGTCTTTGTCATAGCTCATATTCAGAAAGTGAAACAAATTAAATACCGGGCACCCGCGTGATACCTGGAATAAATGCAACGCGCGTTATGCAACAGGCTACCATAAACTTTCGCTAAATAATGTTTTACGACGCGTGAGCAGAAGGAAAAGCAAAAGTCGTTGCTTGCACAGGAAGTGCTGCATAATATGCTGAAATTCGCCCCCTCGAGTGTACGCCAACCTGGGAAGGGTTGTCCAGGGCTGTAACGTTTCTCTGTTGATAAATGCAAATATCCTGCGAGAACACCTGGGGATTTTATGAGCCCCACCCTGTCACACATTGCGGTTGAATTTACTTCCCGTACCTTATTGTACCTTAGATATGAACCTTTTCTTCCTCATGCCCCGTGCCGTAAATAATTTTATTTAACCCTTTCGCCATATGGGCGAAATTCATCAAGGCGTGCAGGCAAATATGTTAAGATGGAAGATAGAATATTTGGGGGAAAATAGCCACCTCGGAATTTTTCCCAACATCGCAATTGGCATTCGGTCGGTGAACGGCGTTCATTCTCCGTTTCATATTTCAGGGGAACTGCCGGCTGCTGTACATGACGGCAATGGTGTATCGCGAGCAGTCCTCAATCTTTGGCTGATCCATCTCACCGTGAGCTACGTCTTCTCCAGATGACCCTACTAAGGTAACGCTCTTTGACGTATGGACCACTCGGTTACCGACTAAAGTAAGTCCGTTTCCCCAAAGCCGCAAAATTCAATGGAGAATCTCTCTCTCTCTTATTTTTGTCGGTTCTTTTCCACCGTATCCCTTATAATTCGATCAAAGTGGGAGAAACTAGCCGCCATGTAACCGGAGCGACGTAGCACGCGATAAAGCGAGGTAAAATTAGTGCCCCGATTTTATAACAAAGTTAAGCTATTTCCATTATTAATAACGTCAGCCTCCATTAAAACGGCCAATCCGGCCGATAGGGTAAGAGGCACTGTGATTGGCACTTTAAGCCGATCAAATTCCCAGACATTGACAGCTCGCCGTCATTTCCCGACGACGCATTTTCACCAGCGAGTCATTACCTGGGATATTATCCTGCTACCGCCGAAATTTTCAATGATATCTCGCACTTATCGAGGCATTCACGCCCTTTTAGTGCAGCACCCAGGTAGAATGCCAATCGTCGCAGGCATTGACTTTTCATGGCAGGTCTTTTCCCAGGTGGAAAATTCTTCTCGATTTCCCAGTCCCCCCGGCAACTTTTCCCTCCGTTTTTTATTTGCCCTCCTAATCCGAGTTTCAGATGAGTTTTCAGGTGAGCTCCGAAAGCCCGCCGATTTATAAGGAGCTTGCGCGAACTTGCGGCGTTAACCTGCCGTCTAAGATTTACCATGGTCGAGAGGAAAAGACGGAGGCTGCGGAAAAAGCCGACGATAGGAGGAAAACGACTAATTGGAAGAGGCGAAATCGTGGATTCAGTTGAAACCAGTGAGATCCAAAAGCTGATCCGCGATCGTTGCGTGCGATCGTTTTTCCTCCTTTTCGAGCGAGAAGGCGCGATAAAATGGTTCGGATTTCAAACGGAAAACTGCGGGAGCTTTGGAAGAGTTTTTGCTGCCGCAAGCAGCGGAAGGTATACATTTCCCGGAGGTAATCGAGCGTAATCGATCGATCCTACGTTTACATGATATAGCGATCGCTCGTAACTTACATCCATCCGTTACACCGGTGTATTATACCCCTTGCTAATCTCTCGACTGCACTCCCCAAAATCGATACGAAATCAATAAAAAACCTCCCCTCATTGTCATCAAGTGGCAAGGAATGAATTTCCCCGAGAAATTCATCCTGTACCATTTTACCGTGAATTTTTTCCTTCCCCTGCGAAATGGAGTATTATAATAAAAGTGCCATTATTTCCCGACCTTCTGCACTATGGGTTCAATTTGATGGATCCATTCCGGAGGTTTCATCGATCTCGGATCATTACGGAACTCCAAATCATCCGGAAAGCAATCGATCCTCTCGATTCGCATTTATGCGTCCTGCCATCGGCTGAGACGTGCCGAATGGCAGGGCGTAAATTGCCGATATTAATAATTCAAGGTTTTATCTTACCGCGCTGTCTATTCTCCCATTGTGAAGATAATTCCGACGCGTAACGTATGACGGAAACAATAGTTTATACGCCGCGGCATAGTTGCAATCCGCAACAGCGTATCGCTCATATGCGCTTTCATTATCAGCGACAATACATCACGGTGTGAGCCCCGTGACGTCACATCCGTCCATCCTTCATCGCAAAACACCGTCAAGCTTGCAGTGCAACGCACTCGCGAATTCTCCCTTTGCCCCCCTTGTTTGTCGAATAAAATACGATTGCATCTTTCGAATGGTCAGCTATGGGAATGGAGGAAATAATGCAGGACGCATGAGATAGTCCGTTTCAATGGGACCATTGTAGATGGACCTGAGGTTCCAAGGATTCGGAATGTATCTATTGTACTCTGGGAAATATTCCCAGGAAGAGAGATAGTTTCGATCGATAAAGGAGGGAGGGGACGTTAGGGTGGAAATCATTTTCTTTTTATATGTGCACATATAATCGCTAATGAGATTCCTAGCAAATTTTAAGCTTTACAACCCGTGCATTTCTTCCGGACGTTACAATTAATTAGCTGGATTTGATCATCGTGCTGTATTAAATGTAGATGGATTTTTCACGATTTTTATTTTATTTTCGGAAATAGGTGATTGGAGTCAATGATAGAAGACGGTACACGGTGCAGGATGGTCCCAGATAAGGGGTCCTTTTTTTTGACAAGGTCTTAGTCCAGAAGGTATCGCCTGGCAGATATTCCAACGACGAAAGCACGAATTTGCATGCGTGGATCGTTGAATTTCGTCTGCCTACCTCACCTGTCAAGACTGACAAGACCTGGCATTGTGCTGAGTACGTTATGAGCACATTCTGTGATATAGAACGAACGGATTTACTTGAATATATGCGAAAACCTTGTCGCGTTAGCTGAGATTCTCGCGTACGCGTTGGTCAATTTAAATGGAAGTGCCCGGTACCACTTTTTCATTCCCCGACGATTGGTATTAAAATTATAGACGCTAAATGTTAAAAATTTATAAATCGCGAGGGGCCGGATCGTTAATATTCGGTTTTCCAAGTGAAACAATAATTCCTGCCATTTCAAAATGTTTCACGGTAGAAATAGGAATTTCCGAGGGCGGGTTCTTCAATTTCGGCTCTCTTGTCAAAACCCACGAGGGCTGCGATTATGCAGACGTGCGTTGTGAGCTCATTTCGTAAATTCGTCGAGCGGATTAACTCAAACGTCCGCAGAAATGCTTTTAAGCCCCATATACCGGATGATCCGTTTCAATGACTCCGGAACATCTTTTGGAAAAACATCATCCAAAAATCTGCACCCTACTGGTGGCATAAATTCGGGACTTCGTTCAACCATAATGCATCGAGTTACCTCAAGGAATATCCTAAATGACAGTCGCACAGAATTTTCCGTCGGGATTTACGCCGCAATTTACTCCCTAAACTCGGAGAAGCACCGCAAAGCTCCCGTAAACTTTAAATTACAGAGGCGCCATTTCGAATCCTCCTTTTTTAATACTCCCAGGGAGCATTTTAAACCATATCAACGGCATGCACGTTGTACTTGGAGATGAGCACATAAATTTCAGTTAGAAAGGAATGTACTCTACCCACGGCCGCAATTTTGTCCTTTTTACTTCTACCTCGCGTTACACCCTACACTTTTCTCCGTGTTGCGCGTTATACCATAAACATGCTGGATGTCTGCACGAAACCTTGCGTGTCCCCATAAGCATCTTCTCGAATAATTTCCCTTGAAATATCATTTTCTCATCGATCGTGGAGAGAGTTCACCCACGAATACAATTTTTGGGTGGCATAAGTCGATTCGGAATTTCCACTCTTTTTCTCGGCTTTTTGACCTCTCTCTCTTTTTATCCTCTCTCGCATTATCTCGCTCCTCTCCCCCTTTCCTCCCACTTTGTCCGTTTCTCCCACAGGACGTCTGCGCGACGTTGAAATACCGCTCCTGGCAGATCCTGGTCTGTAAGCCAAACCACATTTTCCTCCGAAAGCTTCTCGGAATAGTATGGGAAATTGCATCCTCATCGGAATACGTTTAGAAGCTTACTCTTGCCAGTCAGGATGCGAGAGGAATCTCGACCAAAAAGACCTCCATTACGATTTCATGCACAAGACGTAATGAAATGACGCGAGTAAAGGAGCCCTGGGACTACTTCCGTTCGAGATACGTAAAAATTCACTGAATTTTTACAAAGTTCCGATAGTTTAAGGTAAGAATCCTGACGTGGAGCCGAGAACTGTCTGCTCATAAGCGAACCGATGGAGGAAAAGTACCTTATATAACCAGAATTGATTTCCTCAGTCCCGAATCGCTTGTTTTACCCCGAAACGACTTTGCAAAGAGATAGCAAAGTCGAAGTAGGGACCGTCAAATTCGATATTTCAAATTGAAAAGGGACAGTGGGCAGCTCCCGATATCGTTTTACACGTTAATAAAATTTCATACCAGAGCAGGTCTCAATTCTGCCCAGAAAAAAACCGAAAAACCCGAATATTAAATGAATAATCTCAAATAATCCCGTCAGAACGCCTAATATAAATAAATTCATAAGTTCAATAAACATTTCACCCGGCAAAAGAGCCTCTCTCGGCGTAGCAAGTCGATTTAATAAATTAATCAAAAAGGCACACAACGGTAGGTGCAAAATTCACGAAGTAAACCCGCTTAGCCAAACCACTCATTAACCGGCCGAGCACGTGGTAATTGTCGCTAATCGTTGATAATTATTCCTGCCACAGTGCCTGCGTTATATCCACTACATTTGCATAATAATAAATATTTAACGATAATCCAGCATCCTGGATGCACTTCGATGCACCTTGGGCCATAACACGTGAGGTGCACGTGCAATCCGCTGCATCGCTCTCCTCCCCCCTTGCGCACTTCGGAGGGGCTGCAACAGTGCTTTCCGAGGAAGCACGACGTCGTTTGAGGGTAGACGAAGAAGAGCCACAAGGATACTAACCCCAGGGTGAAATTCAGCAGGATATCCCATACGAAAAGGGTTTCGCGCTAAAAGGGTCTCAGAGTTCCGCGCAGTCTTTCAACTCTTCAGCCCCGGAGGCGTCTTCTTCGCTTCTTCGGTTTTCTCTCCGCCTTGCTCCTGACTTCGCCAACCAATTCCGGAATAAAGTGATACCACTTTGGGGGCCGACAAAGCGTAATTCCCTCCAGATTCCACCCTGACCTACCGTATTTCCATCAGTGACCCTGGTTGTCGCCTGCAGCGTCGCCCCTGGCGAATGCGCTTCTTCGGCGTTCCTCGAGCCGTTTCCGGCACGAAGAATGCACTTCGTAGGCGTTCTTGGAATGATCCTCGTCTGAAGATTTCCGCCCTGGGAGAGGAAGCTGCCTTTGCGGTCCAAACCGCGTCTCTTATCGGGCTTTTTGCCGAATTCGCGAATTCGCAGAGTCCACTTTTGTGTGATCCAAACTGCCCTCGATGACTGCATCTCGACGGGCTATCCGACTTGCTCCGATTCTGGATTTCCATCGCGAGAAATAAATCTCATTTATCCCTGGATAATAAAAACT